TTGCTTAAGTTCTCATTCTCTGTCATTGTGTTGCTTCACTTTCTTCTCTTCTCTGGCTTTCATTTTGCCGCTCCTCATTTCTCTCATATCTATTTCTCCCCTCCCCTCTTTGTTTTTGTCAATCTCTCTTCCTTGTCATCTTTTACTCCCTCTCCCCTTCCTTATTCCCACCCTGCCTTTCTTTGCTTTTATCATGAGAAGTAAGAAATTCAGTTTCTGAGGAGCACTCAGCAAAAAAAAATTAACTGCTTTGACAAGTGTTTTAAATCAATGCTATTCTTTATTGCACTGAGGCAAATCATTTCTGAAGAGTGCCTTTTTGCGTCCACCCAGCCATATACTCAGAAACTTGTGGTATGAGAATACCACTGCTCAACGTAGTGCACAGTGGTCTTATATAAACTGAAATTACTGACACCATGAACCATTTAATGGTTCACTCAAGGACACAAAAACAGCTTAATGCTTAAAATCATTAAATTGCTCTCCTCTTGACATGACTGCAGCCACAGTTGTTCAGCTAGATGACACCACGTGAGTTTCCCTCTCAGCTTTAGGCCGAATAGACTTTTTCTAACCTGACTGAACCATCTGTCTATCACTGTCTATCATGGGCGATGTTTTCCATTGAGAAAATCCTTCAGTGCCCTTATTTGCACTTCTCTCAATGAAGAAATACTCTCCAGTTCTAATATTAACTAGAACTACCCACCCCTGTAGCTGCCAGTACTTCCTCAAAAGACGCTGATTGATCCAGTACCACAGTAGTTGGGCCACAAACCCATAGCTTTAAGCCTGCTCGTATTCTCGTGTGAGCTCATGTTTTCGTGATCTTGCGAATCCAGCTGCCTCTCAAGGTTAGACTTTTTCAGTTTGGTGCTTAATTATTCTAAAGGGAAATTCCGGTGTATACTTTATGCTGCAACTTGGATTTCTGATTTTGTAGTGTCGGCCTTCATTTCTATTTCTAGTATCACTGTGTTCATTCTGGTAAGTCCTGAGATCTGGACACAGGGTAACACCACTAGCATGAAGTCCAATGGGGAAAAACTCATGAGCCAATCAGAACAAGACTAAGCCCTAAGAAGAATAAACCAAAATAAGCCTTGCAATAAGACAGCACTGCGTTGGTGGGGTGAGATGATGAAATATGTTCAAGGGAGTTGGAATAACAGATTAATGCATTTAAAGGCTTATCATATGCAAAAACCCAAGTTAGGGAATCACTGAAGACAGTAGGCTTCATCCTCTGCTGATCAGCAAAAGCTGTTATCTACCAGTTGATTTCAAAGTAAAACTCAAGTCTTTAATCTTTGTCTTTACTTCCAGATAAGTCTGACTAACTTTGTCGAGGTTTGTTTAAAACCTGACTGCCCGTGTTTTTGTGTTTCTTTTTAGCTATGCTGTCACACTCCCAGATTTCAGAAACTAACTTGATGAGTACAATGTTATTATTAGAATGAGGAATGAAGGCCGAAGCTATGAAAATAATACCCAAGTTGCTATAAACCAGAATTTCCATAACATTGTGGTATCCTCACTCAGTTTGGGCTTGAGGGATTTTGCTGTAAACTATATAGAGCTTCTTTCACAATTATCCCTCCTTGACTTTGTTCATCTTGGGAATTAGTAGTAAGTAACCTTGTCAAAAGCTGTTAGACTTGTACCGAGAGCTGCAACAGAATATTTAGTCCCACTTTTCAGCAGTTATTGAAGGATAAGTTTGTAGAAATTTCCTTGATTTCTTTTGTGTTTATTATTCTTTTGTTAGCTTATTCTCTCTCATGTGTTGGGTCTCCCTTAGTGTGTAGCCTATATTGTAATAATATACTCTGACATGTAGTGCATATGGAACACCAGATGCAAGTGAATTTCTGATCATCTTGAAGGGTTAATCCTGTTTTCTGTATCCTGACACACAGAATTTTGGCACTGAGACAGATAAGAATCTCTGTGTGTGTGTGTGTGTGTGTGTGTGTGTGTGTGTGTGTGTGTGTGTGTGTGTGTGTGTGTGTGTGTGTGTGTGTGTGTGTGTGTGCGTGTGTGCGTGCGTGCGTGCGCGTGTGTGTGTATGCATGCACATACTGCTAGTATAGGGCTGTGATCATGAGGATGATGCATCCTATCCCCATTAGTGTTAGCCTAGATCTGTCAGAGCCTCGTTGGGTTACTGCCTGGCAAAATCTCAACCCTGAGGAACAATGGGATGGGCTAAACACGCACACGCACACGCACTCACACACTCACACCCTTGTGCCTGTGTTCCCAAGACAAAACAGTGTTTCACACGCACACCCAGCAGTGCCTGGAAATTCTTGTCAGTACGCCCTGTCAATCTCGCATTCACGTAAGCACAAACACACACTTTCATCCTCAACCCCTGTGTAACAGACAGGAAGTGTTACAGTCTGGTTTGTTGTCTTCACTTTATTGTAGCTCAGTTTTGATCGACATCATATTTCACACACTCAAAACTGCATTTTTGGTTGCCCTCTGTCTCACCTTTGTCAGACAACAACAGAGACAGCTCAGTTAGCTGACGAGTTGCTTTATTTTTCCAACTCTGCTGGTGTTGTTACTGTGACCCAAGCACACCAAAGACCATCAACCCCAATAACTGATTATGCAGTGCTGGTTTCTCCTCATTATTATAGTGTTTGCTCACAGCGGAGATCAATAGAAAACTGAATGGTGTGAACTGAGACTCAGATCAGTGCCGTTGGAAGCACTGGGTGTGTTTATCATTGAGTTAATTTAACTGCATGCCCAGTTTTTAGTCCAAATCAAACAATTTCCATACAACAACCTTGCTTACTCTGAGAAATAATTTATCAGCTTGTAGAGCTACTTTGATGTGCGTCTCCTTTTCATTGTATCTGACTCGCTAACAACACTTTAATAAGTTGTCTTATTACCTGTCGTTCAGCGGCTGTCCTTGCAGCTCCCTCTCAGCCGTAGCTAAATTCAAGGCTGCCCTACATTTTCCTCATGCTGTGGAGGCTTTGACAAGAGATAACAGTTTCCCTCTGTGCTCTCCTTTATGGACTTTTAACGTTGCTTCTAATTAATATCTTTTTGTCATTAATTTACTGTGACACATGGCCTCCCTCCACCCACCCAACCAGCAAGTCGAATAGATTCAAGCCCTAAAGCCCTATTTAGTCTCCAAGCACCAAACTGCAGGGAAGAGATCTGCAGACTGGAGTGTATAATCGGACAGCTCCCATGTGGCTCTAACGTCTTTTTAGCACATATTTCTGTCTTTTTTTTTTATGTTTGTTTCTTTGTGTCTGTCCTTTCCTTTCTTTCCTCCTGTCCTCCTTGTTGGTGCCAGGAGTTCAGAGCTATTATCAAAATTCAGCACAACGGCTCTTAGTGCACTTTGGTTGGCCACAAAACTGCTCTTAACATTCTGTGCTACCTAGAAAGCATTGCACACATTTTAGCTATTTTCTCAATGATGGGTGTTGATAAAGTGTCTCGCCATTACGTACACTCATGGGGCCTTGGTTTCTGATGGGGTGATGATGGTGATGATAGCAGTCCAGTGATGGTTGCCCTTGGTTTCTTGTGTTTGTCTGCGGAACCTCGGGTCCCTTGATAGTTCGTCAAGCCTGCAGCCTTTTCAGAAAGGAAAAGAAAAAGAAAAATGCTCCTTGGTGAACCTGTAACCTCCCAGGTGAATAAGCACATAATGACACTGTATAAATCAGTAAGAATTGACACAGGGCTTGTCCTGGCCCTGAAAATAAACTTTAAAATATTGGAGCAGTGTTAAAAAAACTTTATATATCCCAGCTTCATTAGACACATTTATCCATTTTATTGCTAAAAAAGTTCCTTAAGGTACATTTGCACTATCATTGTAGTAATATTGATTTAATTCCTTACTTTATAACAGACACTATTTTCTCTTGTCTCCTTTTACTTTGTTGAAATACATCTTGCTATATTAATATTATAAAGTTACATAATTCATGATAACTCTGTAGCTCAGATTTAAAGAAAAGAAAAAGACAGAATTCAGAAAGAGGAAACACAGCCAGAACAATGTTTTTTGCTCTGTATCATCTTGTTTTTTTTAAATGGAAATACTTACAAATAATGGACGCCGCAATTTTTAACCTTATTTTTTCTTGGATGCAAAAATCCACATGAGGCACTTGTTAGCTTGTCTTTTTCCGTGTATGCTAAATGAATCAGTCTACTTTATCAGACGGAATAGACAGTGTGTTTTCCTGATAAAGTAAAAGAAGCAGTAAAATAAGTCGTATTTCAAGTACATGGTACAGCTGGGCTGGAACTCTACTCGCTTTTGGTATCTCTAATTCGTAGTACCACTGACCAAGGTGATACCAAACATAATGGAAAACCAAAAAAGAGCGAGCAGAGTCATTTCGAGCCGTACCATGCGGTGGAGAAACGTCTGTAGTTTCCATCGTGTTTCCATCTTGGGCCTAATTTTGTGTATCACATTACGTGCTTTTGCAATGTTACTGCTTGTGTCCGTTGTGGTGTCAGTGTTGAAACAATATATTGTAACATACTTAAGCAAGGGCTACATATGATGTGGCCAGTCTCTTTTTAAAAGCGAGCCAAACAGAATGGAGAAAGAGCGATGAGTTTTCCCACCACAGTGGACAGTGACTTTGCCTTCAGTGTATTTTTAAACACTCTGATGGATAAGACTTAGAGGATAGTACGTGCTGGCCAGAGAGCAGTAATAATTGATGAAGGTTTTTATAGAAAGCACAAGAGTGAAAAAGTCTTGGTCATGACTCTTACGCATGTGCTCTTATTGCTGCTTTTTTATCCTCCGCTCTGTTGTTCTGGTACATCTCTGGACTTCCTATTTCTTATTTGTTAGGTTGTTTGTACCCTTCACTCTTAAACCTCTCTGACCCTCTCTAACCCTACCTTTCTATCTCTCTCTCTCTCTCTCTCTCTCTCTCTCTCTCTCTCTCTCTCTCTCTCTCCTGTCTCTCTCTCTCTCATTGCAGGTTCAGGAAAATGTCTTTGTTGATTTTAACCACCAGGAGCTGCTTGAGTTCTACAACAAGGTCTGTTTTTTAAAACAGTGTGTGTGTGTGTGTGTGTGTGTGTGTGTGTGTGTGTGTGTGTGTGTGTGTGTGTGTGTGTGTGTGTGTGTGTGTGTGTGTGTGTGTGTGTGTGTGTGTGTGTGTGTGTGTGTCCACTTTGATGTCACATTGCATATATGTCTTTGTGTTTCAGTTCTTCCATGTTGCATATCATCCTGATTGGCAGACATTGCCTGACAAAATCCATCTGCCTGCCTGTCTCCTTCATACTTTGATACATTTTGTTTCCTATTTCTCTTTTCTTTCTCTGTTGGACTTTGTCTACCTTTTCTTGTGTGTGTGTGTGTGTGTGTGTGTGTGTGTGTGTGTGTGTGTGTGTGTGTGTGTGTGTGTGTTTGTGTTTGTGTGTGTGTGTGTGTGTGTGTGTGTGTGTTTCTTTTGTGCATTTCTATTTTCCAAACACTCAAACATTTTCTCCCCTTTCTTTCAGCTTGAAATCGTACAAGGCCAGTTGGATTCCCTGACTTGATGCCTGGTGCTCTTTGTACAACCACACACACACACAAACATACATGCGCACACACACGCACACATGCATTGTTAGTTTTTTTGCTGACAGCTATGCCAGCTGTTAGAGGCCTGGCAATTCCATACTTGCTCTGATTTATTAGAGAAAAATGTCAGAAAATTGATGGAAGGAGTTTCTTTCCCTTTTGAGCTTCATGTAATTCAGTTTTGTGCTCATAACTTAGAGACGTCAGTGTGATAAATCAGATTTTACGCTGAGTATTTATGTCTTCATCAAGGGGATGGTGGGAAAATTACATTTGTCAATATAGATTGTGCTGAAACAAGTTTCTTAGTAACATTTTTCTATACCCTGTGAGTAACTTAATGTTTGATTGCCCTGTAACTTAGTTTTAATGATCTGTTTAAAATGTGCCAATTGTCAGCGATCATAAAAAATCATTTGCACCCTTAAAAAGAATGAAAAAATAAATGAAATGTTATTTTCACTTGAAACAAATGAGTTTGTTACTTGGACAATAAACTAGTGTCCATGCCATTCTAATAAAATCTGAAGTGGAGGTAAAATCCATCCAAGCTGTTGTTATTTAGTGAAGGCTCATTATTTCTCATTAAGACCAACCTGGACTGCTGGTTCAACAGATGGGAGTTCTGGGAGGCACAGCGGACCTCCAGTGTCTGTGTGTGAGTGTGTGTGCGCGCGCGCACGCACTCATGCATGTGTCTGTGTGTAGATGAGTGCATGAATATGTCCTTGTTCATGCATCTGTCCTAACTTTTGTGTGTGTGTGTGTGTGTGTGTGTGTGTGTGTGTGTGTGTGTGTGTGTGTGTGTGTGTGTGTGTGTGTGTGTGTGTGTGTGTGTGTGTGTGTGTGTGTGTGTGTGCATGCACATAATTCTTCTCTTCTATTGTTTGTATCAAAACTTTAGAAGTTCCCAGGTGTTATTCTCCCAACCCCTCAGATCTTCCCAATGACTCTGCTTTTAGATTTGTCACGTTAGGCTTTTTATCAAAATTAGGAATTTACCTTTGTGAAGTGTAATACACAATGTGTTGGGGTCAGATTTCCAAGCAGAGAAAACCAACTATTCACTTGTCCGCTTAATTATGTGCCAACATACATTAATGAGCACCAACTAGGAACTTTCATTGTCTGTTGATTCTGGCAGCTCCTGTGGACAAACCCTCTTTGGTTTTGGAGTGAGTTGCTGCTCCAAGTGATCAAGTTTCTCAAGGTCTTGTTCACAAGCAGGGGTAACATCAACAGGTGGTCAGGTTGGTGCGGTGTTGGCGGATACCGATGTTTTAAGGGGCTAATTTTTAAGCAGAGTGAGGAGCCGAAGGAGTGAGTTGAGGTGGTTTGGGGACCCGACCAGGATGCCTCCTGAATGTTTCATGTTGGAGGTATTCTTGACACGTCCTACTGGGAGGCAGACGCAGATCACACTAGAGAGATTATATATCCCATCTGGACCGGGAACGCCTCAAGATCCCCCAGGAGGCGCTTGAGGTCGTGAAGAAGGACATTTAGTCTACTTTTCTTAGCCTGCCGCCACCGCTTCACAGACACGGTGGGGAATGGTTAGATGGATCAAAGTAAGTATGAGATTATACAGATTTAGTCTCCTGTATAATTGAATTACTCGTGTCTCTTTGCTTTATGAACCTTAAACCTTGTTCACAAACAAAATTTTCATTTCAAAAAGTTGTCCCTTCAGTAGTCAAACAACTTTCCCATGTGGTTCTGTTGCTTTTTATGTCTAACCTTAGCAGGTGGCAAGCTGTGTGATAATTGGCTTGTAGAGAGGACATAAAAACATAAATACACACACACAAGCAAACAACAAAAAACTCCCACTTCCACCTTGTAAAATGGATGAATTCACCACTTTTACTATGAGAAACCTACTTACAGCTGCCACCCTCAAAGATACTAAAAATATTAAGGCAGTGTAATACATCAAGAGAAGACAGCATTCTCTTTCTCTTCCTCCTACGTTATAGTAGACTCAGAGTAAACCTTCGAACATGGATATATTCTCTCTCTCACACACGAACACGCGCGCTCGCGCACACACACACACTAGATTTGCTAAACAAAATAAGAAAATGACTCATTGGGTGACTTAACTGTCCCAAAAAACAGTCTGAGCCATGTCCTGAATCACTTCTGTCCTGAGTGCTTTTTTTTAAAATCCAATTGACAATTTTTGCCACCATGTGAAAGCGCCTGCAGCCAGAGGGAGCGCCGTGTTCCACAGCATGGAGAACAGATGGCGAGGCCGAGCAAGGATGGCCGCCTGGAAAAAAAGAGGAGAAAAAAAGAGACTCTCACACTGAGACTCACACTGAGATCAGGCAGAACACAGCACACAGAGTCCCGATGAGAGCGATAGGGGGAGTGTGTGTCTGAGTGTGTGTATTTATGTCTGGTGAGTTGTGTCTCTGCGTGTACTTGTCAAAGCTGTTTGCATGCTCTGGTGTGTGTGATGAGGCAAACTAAGTTAAGCTGGACACCACACAAACATACACACCGGTTTTTGCAGAGCGGATAGTCTGCGCGGGCTGTTGTGCTTTTCCAGCTTTAATAAGTGTCTAATGTACTCACCTCACTGCGAGGTCCTACAGAGCTGACAGAGCGTGGTCACAGATAAAAGACATTGATAGTTGGCTTCTACGACACACAAAAGCAAGCAAAAAGTTGAACCCAGTGCTCGCTACCCATGTTAAGCAGGTGTTTTCCACCACTGATTTATATAAAAAAAAACTCTCCTGGGTCTCATGATGGGATGTGGATGGGAAAAGCTTTTTAAAAGTAAGATAATAACACCTGTTGATGTTGTTAAGGTAAACAGAAACCCAAATTAGAGAGAAAATCCAACTCAACGCAGCATAGCTTTACCCTGTTAAGTGCTTGGACGCATCAGAAAATGACAGGAAGGCTTAGTGACACAGTGACTTGCGGTTTTTGGACACTTTTAGACTCTGGTCCGCGCTGAGGGAAAGCCCTGTCACGACTGTTTGCAAGTGGTCACCATAGCAAATTTGCATGTCAAAATTAAATTGCATGTGAAAGCAACAGATAAGTGTGTGCTTGCTCTACAAGGAGATACAGTCATTGAGGCAATTCAATTAAAATGAACTGATTCCAAAACCAAAATTTAGATGTTATGTTTTTATGGTGGTGTGACTGAACCCTAAGAGCAAGCACAGTAGTCATGCATGTTTATTAAAACCGACTTTATGTCCAACTAGCTTCCATCCTTACAGTTTTATGACCGAAATACACTGCTGTGTTGTTCACGGGCTAAATCTACAAATCACTTAGCTGATTCGAATCATTTTGTTCAGTTCATTTCAAAGATCTGTAGCCACTGACCGTGAAGATAATTACTTCTTTAAGCTAAGCGGTGGAATCAATGTTCAGAGGCACTTCAGTATGTACATTCAGTCTGTCTCTGGTCTGTCACATTTAGTTCAGTACAAAACTAGCCTTTACAAGCACTGTACAGAAGGTTAATAGCTCAGCCTATTATTTTTTACGACTGAGTTATCAGATGATGATTGTTTCTGTGGCTTTCGTGGTCTTTTAATAGTCTTTTAACGAGGGAGTGTATCATGGCTGAGTTAACAACGGTGCTCTCAGTCACCAGTGAGGGGAGCTGCTTAAAGCTACTGATTTGGTCATCGACAATGGTGACTCAGTTTTGTCAAATTCGTTGTTTAAGACTCGTTCGTACATGTACTGCACAACTCTAGCTGTGGCAGTTTTTGGGTGTTTTTTTAAAAAAATGCAACCACCTTAGTGTGGACATTGCTTCCTACCATCGACAAAACACTGAATTGTGCATTCGTGAGCACTTGAGTGTGTGTGGACTATTAATACTACATGCTTCCGTTGTGTATACAGTATGTTCACGTGTCTGTTCTCCATCTCTGCAACTATGCTTGTCTTGTGCCTGTTTGACAACCACTACTTTCAAAAAACAAAGGAGACACGATCATGAGTGCCTTTTGTAAAAGATTAACAACAGACCAGAGTCACAACAATAGTATTAAGCTGCACAGATAGCACCAGTCTGCTTTTATGAGGAACAACTCTTCACAATGGACAAGCGAGCTATGAGCAGTTAATAAAAAGTGAACAATAGCAGAGAGGTAGTCACAATAAATCTGTGTTGTGTCAAGAACTATCTGTTTTGCATGCCATTGTCCCTTACGTGTGTCTGGTTAATAAAATATTTATTACTGTGCTCTCTAGCAGAAAGAGGTGCTATAACGGGACACCAACTGAATAAAAATTTGGCCAACCTGCTACACCTTTGTCAGTATTTCCCACATTTCTAAAACTGTCTCCATAATTCAGTCTATTTACATGAACATGTGAATAACCAGATTAAGGTAATAGTTCATTTAAAGCATTTTCATGGTTCCCAGGTTCCCAGGAATCCAATTTCCCCGGTATTCCTAGTTTATATGATGGTTTGACAGTTAAGTTAATGAAACTGTGTATAAAATTACTTTGCATATTTTGGTTCATGAAACCAGTGAAAAGAGTTGATGTGTACTGTATGCATGCCACTGTGATTCAAAAGACAGACGTGTAAGCCAAGCCTCTTAAACAGGTTATACTTATTCTGATTTATAAATACCTGAATAGGTTCTAACTAATTGATGGCTGTGGAACATAGATTTACATTTACTAATGTTAAAATCTCAGACATGTAACCTTTAAGTCCAAGTGAAGTCACAAGTCAAATTCAAGACTGGACTTAATAATACATCCATCCAATTCTTGTCCCTACTTTGACCCTTTCTCAAGAAGAAAACCCTAACCCAATCACATGATTCTAGTAACAATGGACCGACTGTGTTACAGCTAATAACAGCAACTGATAGGTGCACAAAATCAGACTAGGCTTTTCTGCTGGTCTGTGCTGTTTCTTCAGGCGTGTTAAGACATGATGTTGCAAAATGTGAAAAACTTTCAAAAGCTGACAACTGTAATATAATGTTTCCTGAGGCCATAATACATTGGAAGCATTTTCAGGCACTGTACAGTCTTTTACAGTAGATAAGCAAATTCACCTGCAACTCACCTTCAGCCTTCTTTCTGTATCTTTAGATACTCCTCATCCTCATTTTCTATCACTTTGTCTCAGTTGTGTGATAAATCTTCTACTAACCTCTACTAATTTCGAAACTAGGAGCAGCACTAAACAAGGAATGAGAAACCAGACATACTTGTTGAGAAGCAGATATTTTTTTAAATCTTTTTTATGATTTCATACTATGATTGTACTGAAAAAGAGCAGCTTCTCACATCAGCACAACCATTAACTAGCATCAGTGCGCTGTCAGAGCTATGTAACAGGACACAAATATTCTGATAATCGTATTCATCTTTATAAGAAGCAGAGGAACACAGGAGGTATTCCGTTGTACCAAAACAGTGCACAATATTTCTAAAATTGGATGACTAAATTATTGAAGCACTGAGTTGTTTTGGATTCACAGTCCAAGTTCTTTGGCACCCAACCAGCTTTCTCCAAGGAGGTTTGGAAATGGGT